ATTTATTCGCTCTACATATATTTTGTATTGAGCACTTTTGTTTTGGAATAATCGACTCCTACATCTAGACTATATATATATAACTTCTCGCCATAAACATATTTTGTAACACGTTCTTCATCAACACTACACTAATCAACACCCGAACACACAGGCATGATGACGTGTATATATTAATAAATCTATCACTTACATCTAAATTTGTAATAGTAACTGTACAATCTCCACTGCTACCTACATCGTTGTCAATCACAGTGATGGAATATATCACAGTCCCTTCTGATGTATCCTGTTTAATTTGAAAAACAAATACGAAGTTTGATATGGCATACCGATCAAAATATGTTCATGGAATCGATGTTAGAAAACAAATTTACCAAACATATGTTAGGCTAAAAATAAAATAATAATAAAATGTTATGATTGTCTGTATTATATAACCTAACTATTAATGTTACTTCGTATAATACCTTAGAGAACTCCTTGATGTCAATACGTATTGTACGGTTAGTTTCAGTGTTTAAACCTGTAAGCTTTATATTTCTTGTTCATAATTGTGAAAACCACACTGATAAAAACGCGTTTTTTACAATTTATTTTGGTATAAATTGGTATAATTAAATGACCATGCAATTTGTCACTGAATTCATGAAGTGCGATGTGTTGCCCTGTCGTTACTGACATATTAGTTACATCCTTTTTATTTTACCCTTTTTATGGGTTATAGGATCAATTGTTTTTATTCAACGACACCTTAAATCAAAAGTTCTTCTTGTAGACAACCACAAGCAATGGTTGAATACAGCCATTCAAGTCAACCATTGCGTTAATATTGATCAACTGGTTACGGTATACCGCATCACCTAGATGGTATATCTTCATTGAGTGACAAGTGTTTCTTGTCAGGTAAACACTATTTGGTTCTCACCTCGAGTACATCAAGTACTGCATAAGGAGCGCAAACGAATATTGGTGAATGGTCATTAACATTAACAATGTACACAGTGATTTCAGTCTCCACCTACAAACAGAAAAAAACTTGCTGTGTTATACCGAGATTATAACAATAAATAATATTCCATTAAGGATGTGGTAAAGTAATTAGAGATAAAGGCATGACATTATCCATTGGTATTGGTTATTATTCAATAATTCAAATGTATGTAGACTGTAGAGGACAATTAAGAGAGAATTGGATATGCAGGCTTATAATCAGAATATGTTGTAACTAGGTGCTAGGAATTGTGTGTGGGTGCATTACCAGACAGCAGTATCACGGTCGTATTCTTGTATCAACCTGAATCTGTGTAAATCATACTATTTTGTGTCTTTGTACAAAGAAAGAAAAAATCGGCGACTACTCCACGAATCACTCTCGGCCGTCGCCATGTTTTATTTATTTTAAATAATTTATGATAACTAGGCTGTTTATAGGCTATTGTTGTACTACTTTTATTTGTCAATCAAGGTCAATTACTGTACAGAAGTTCTATTTTCCAGTAGCAATACTAAGCATATATAATTTACACAACGTAATACGCTCTGAAGGTAAGATATCGACCAGAAGTCAATTCAGAATACTACAGGAAAGAGCGTTCAGTTATTGATATATCTGTTATACCGAAATAACCAAGAGGACAGTCAGTCGAATTGCTGCTCTGATTCTAAATCAGATTGTATAGCGATATCTACACCCGCACTATCTACATTTGCGGTCACAAACAATGACTACTTACTGCGTGATATTGATGTAGTTTTATTGAAGTGTGGCAACAACGAAGACATTGATAAGAACAATCAGTCACAGATCAAGGCATTTGTAAACAATATTGAAACAGCAAGTTGGTTTGCAAAGCTGCCTGATGAGTTGACTACATGAGATGCGACGAGAAAGTATTTTGAGATTTTATAAACATATTAACAATCAGTTCGAAATTGTAATAAATATGTGCCAACAATATTTTCGGTAAACAAATTGAAGTCCAATTTTATATTTGTATACAAATAATGCCTTTTTATTATGTACAATTAACAAGATGTATACTTACTGGATCATTGTGACCATCATCCAAGGTCCATGTAGCTGAGACGCTGGTGGTAGTCTGCAATCACGTAATGATATATATATATATATATAACTGTAAAGCGTTAACAGCGTTGGGGGGGGGTACATATAAAAGAGCTATTTCATGATGAATTTGTCATTTAATTGGTTCTAATTGATCTGGATTGCTAAAAAAGACACATTTTCGGTTACAATAAACCGCATGAAAACTTTACTTACGTAAAGTGATTTGCAAGTTGAAGTACTGTATTTTTATTCTGAATCAATGAAAGGAGACTACACAACTGTTTTTGTTATTACACAATCTGGTTGTTGGCTTTTACTATTTATTATCTATGAATATCTATCTAACTTCAGTAAGAGTAAGCATATCACAAATAATATTATATCGATTACTGACATTGTTGAATTGTGAGAAGAAATTGAAACCAGGGCGCTTTGTTATTTTCGGATTTTGCAAAAGCTTTTGGTTTTTAAAAATGGTCTATGTACAGTTTGTTTTAACATTCATTAATATACCATGCTAATGTGCATTTAATATGTGAACTGAAAATATATTTAATATATAAGCCATACCATGTGGTAACGTTTGTATATATTAATTTATTGGAATACTATGTGATGAAGTGAATGTACATTTATTAAAACAGAGGACATCCCTTAAACAAGTGGCAAGTCTTGGGCCCTAAGTAAAATGCTTAAATAATTGCATTCAAAACCCCCGTAATGTTTAAATATGGTCTTGCATTCGCAGACGAAATTTCAAATAGAATTGTATAATAGGGTAATACTTACCTCATAATCAAATTCTTGCATTAACCTAACGTCAGCGTGTGTACAATTTTGGTCACTGACGTCGAAGTATTCTGAACCGTCCTGAACACCAAATGTTATACAATCACCGTCAGGATCTGATGCAACTAGTGTATAAATAAAATTGCCTAAAACAAGATTGAGAATAATGAATACAGTACTAAGCTTGTGTAGAAACAATATAATAATTAAATTTACAATAAACAGTTTTCAATCATTTAATTCCGCTTGGCTATTTAGTTTAAATGGTGGATGAAATGAGGCCAAACGTCGGACTTTAGATTGCATTCGTAACCTTTCATGCTGTAAATTTGACAATGACAAAATGCATTTTATGTACGCAGAATTGTCCAGAATATTTCAAAACAAACTGTGTGTAAATGTAATCCTAAGTGGCAAGCATACTGAATGTTTTCAGTTAAATCCTCTTATTTAAATTCAAGAGCTGTTAGAAACATTTGAATATTTTTGGCTGAAAAACGTACATTGCAATTCGGCTGAAACGTAATGTTTTTAATAAAAATTACAATGTTAAATAAAAGACACAATTTGCCCGATTTTTGCAGTAATATTATATTGTTATCCTGCATATGTCGCATCACATTTCCAGCTTGTTCGATATGCTAGAGCTTGAAGTGGATATGAGACTTTGAGTAACGTTAGACCTGAGTTTTTTTCATAGCATTCAAAGCTAGTGTATTTGTGATATAATACGATATAATTCTCGAATTATCTCAACATCATCTGTTCTATGTGGAATTGACTACATAGATTAATATATGCCGGCTGCTAGCGGTAGAGCAGTATGTGCTCACTTATTTACAAATATCTGATAGCATACTTGAGTCTTAACCTAGCCATATATCCATATATATTTTTGAATGCACACCAATGTGCTACTGTAAACAGTGTTTTTTAATGCATTTTGCATCATTTATATTGACATTAATATTCATTATACTTTTTTCATATTACTATATATATTTATGGATGTGTATGTCCTTATTTTTAATCAAAACAGTTGTATGTCACTTGTATATTTTTGTAAGTGCTTGTCGTGCCAAACATCTCATTATGAAGTACATGCTTAACACAAAAATACATTGTTTTCAAAATAAAACACAATTGTTTTACCGGGATACAAATTTTCAGTTATTACGAAGACATGTATAAGTGTGTTCACAGTGAATAGTTCTAACCAACCATCACAGTTTAATATATAATATATTATGATTGTCATACACATCATATTTATCGGAAATTGTAACACCGGTTTATGTTTTAGGAAGTTTCAATTTTATCAAACTTGAATAAACAATAATAAACCAGTACCCTATCATTCACCAGGTTATTTCAATTGGATGCACTCATATAACACTGAGCACAAGAGACTCCACGAAGCACCGCCTGCTCTAGTTGGGTTTGTTATTTACTCGGTTGAGATTGGTAGTTTTGTCCCATCATTATTCCAATGAATAATGCTCGAAAAATGTTTGTTAAACAAACAACAATCAACAACAAATTGAACTGAAGTCCAGTTCAGAAGAACTAAGGAATGACCAATGGTGTGCGAATGCAGTAATGAATGTGTCAGCAGTTGTGCGTTGGATTTCATTTGAAACCATCTTTACCTATTCCATTATGTGCGGGAAGAAATTATTAGGGGTCCAAGGCCTTTCAGGGCTGGAGCCCTATTGTTATCACTGAGATTTTCACCTTCTTTCCGCCGTTTTTTTTTTTTCGTCAGCTAGTTTGAAAAAAATTAATGTTTTCAAACTTGCTGTGCTGATTAGTGGTGATGTAAACTTGTGCACTGAAATTTCGGAATTTGTATTGGTCAACTGTCTTGGCCGCTATCAAGAGTCAAAGTTCGACCAGATAAGGGGGGGTAATCAGCCCTTTCTGAGGGTCTAAAGCTTTCAATTTTTTACTGTATATAGTACTACCAAAGTGCAATAAATTTCGCCAATAAAAACTACAGTGGGTACGTGACCTTTCTGTTATGTCCATTTAAAGAAAATGCTGTCATTTGTTTTCATTAAAATCTCTTCTTCTCCTGAACAACATTGCCGGTCGCTATGAAACTTAGTATATAGCTTCTACTAACTTATATCTACTTTGTTTGGAAAACAAAATTTGATTGGTCTATTAAATTTGTTGCTAACTTGGATTTAGTGGGAAACGAAAACGGCCATTTTGACTACTTTGTAGCGGTCTAGAAGTCCCATCTGTAGCCCATGCCTATCCTTAATGAGGTAAAAGAACATTAGAGGTCACTTGACTTTGGCCACAAACGAGGTTAAATCCTTCAAAAATCTTCTCATAAACATGCAGACCGATTGACATGAAATTTTGCATAATCCATCTACATGCAGAGCTCTTTCAAGTTTGAGCACAATAAGTTGATTGGTCATGTGGTTTGATCGCCATTTTGTATTATTAACAAACAGTTTGCCCATTTTTTTTCTCAATGGTGCTTCAACCAATCATTTGCATATTTTGTATATAACATGTCTGGTCATAGCTGTATATGAGAAAAATAATATATTTTCAATCAGTCACATGGTTCATCCAAAGATCAACTAAATGAATATGTATGTGAAATGTTTGGTCATAGCTTTATATGAAAATATAATTTCGGTCATTCACGTGGTTTGGCCGCCATCTTGGATTTTGTGAAAACGAGAAATGGGCAAGTACATGTGTTGCATTCCATTCTCGAGATACATTTTTTTCAACTGAATAGCACATGGCTAGGTCCTGTGGCTGGGCGCCCCTTGGGTGGGGGCGTTTAAGCTCATTAATATGCATAACTGTTATATCTTAAACACGGTTGCACTTAGGAAGATGAATCCTGTGTTATTATGACAATGTTGAACAAGAGATTTGATTAAAATAAAAGATGGCCATACATGGTCATGTGAGCTCATTAATATGCATAACTGTCATTTCTGTAACACTGATGCAGAACGGAACATGCAACCAGTGCCATAATGATGGCATCAAACATAAAATTTAACTGACATAAGATCATGTAACCTCATAAATATGCATAAGCAATACACCCAAATTTTACCCCCTAAATTGTTATCAGTCACACGGTTATGCTGATGTTGAATATAAAGAAATATTTAACATGTTTACACTTCATTATGCAAGGATATTAGTATCAACACGCCATTTCAATGAGTATCTGGAGATAACTTTTCTGCAATTCTGCTTGGACCCCGCCAAAGCTGCTTGCAGCTTTAATTATATATTCGGAATTACAAACGTATATATTTTCAGAATCAGAAAATCAGAATTTGTAAAAAATGACAAACTTTAGCTTCTTATTTTATTCTCAATTTAGAAATAATGACTATAAAATGGTAATTCCACAGCAGGAGGGACATGGGGTAAAAACATTTAATCACTATTTTATTCTATATATGGTGGGAATTGATTCGCAAGATCCCCAGCCTCTCAGAAAAAAAGTCGTTCTAAATTAGACCCACAATTTTTCTTCAGGAATATGCCTTCAAATATATGTTACATGCTTTCTAGTCTTTAGACCCCTAAGATAAGAATAATTTTAGCCTTGAAATGCTATAAGGACAACTGAAATAACTTCCAACCCCTCTGAATATAACGTCCGTTGCTCATAAGTTATTCAATAATGTGCAGACAAATGTGCGGTCGAAATGAAATAAAATATCCAAAATTTTGAATCTCTCCCACGTGTATGGATACTTTCCCATGGCATAAATGAAGCAGTTGTTGATAACCTAACGTTTTGTTAAAAATATTCGTAAAAAATGTAATTGATCTGAATGTAAAGAAACTAATAAATTCGTGTTTTCTTGATTACAATATCATATAATAATGAAATATAACACATTGTCAATTTGTTTCAAACTCACCAACAGTAATGTCTTCCCGAAATCTTTCTCGATCCATATCATAATATTTTGTTGGACTTGAACCAGGTATCTCATCAAACGACGGTGGAGAATTAGCAGAAACTTTCGGAAAAAAAACAATACAAACAATATAGTGACAACTAGGAGAACTCGTTGGTCAATACAACCTTTGCTAAATATTTTCAATATGAAAAATCAGAGTGGCAGTTTGGACCTTATGATTGTATAGTTATAGTTACTTATTAGGTGACTTTATGACCCTTACTCTTGTGAGTAGCATAGATAATATGTGTGTAAAGTTTTAGGGCAGTTTTCCTTTGGAGATATATTGTGAGCAGACATTATGTAACATCAAACATTTATTTTTCAGTTTAATACATAGACATTGAACCTTTTGTTTTTGCATCCCATTTGAGAGCGTGCCAAGTTTTTCCTCTATACTTAACATGCAAATACAGATATTGTGATTATTCATATTGACGTGAAAAGTAGCAAGTTGTGTTAGTCACATAGTGAATATGTGTGCCAAGTTTAAAAACACAGTATATTTTTTACATTATATTATATACCTACTAAAGCACTTAAAAACATGTTGAAGACTAAAAATAATACCAGGTTTTGTGGAATATTTAGGAGAAATGTATTTCAAATTTGAGTGACACTTGTTGTTTTCTTCGAATTGTAGAGCGAACATGTAGACGAAACGCAAGCACACACACTCGTAGAAACGTGTACCATTTAATATTTAATATAATATCATAATTAATTACACACCTAATCCATGCAGTGCAAGAACCTCCACTAATACCATAAAATGGTATTGACTTCTTGAAATTGTCTTCATCTTCAAGTAATGGACAAGATACCTAATAAGATACTTATAAGATATATATATATATTTTCCATTATCTAAATAAAAAGAACTGATATATATATATATATCAGTTCTTTTTATTTAGATAATGGAAATTTTTTGGTCAGAGCGCCCTCTAGTATTGTGGAGAATCATGTTCATTTGGAATGCTCTGATTGGATGGAAGTTCAAGCCTAGCAAGGTGTGATAGAATTGGCCAAATAAGCATGAACCACTAATTTGACAGGGAAGTGATACTTATAATGCAGCACGCTGTTCTGAATTGCTGTTGTGGTAGAGTTTTTCTATTTTCCTGTCAAATGCATTTATTGGTCCACTGAAAAATGAAAATAATGTTCCTTGTAACTTAGACTCTTATTGATCAAGGCATTTTAAAAATCATGGGTGTTAACTCCCCTCAAGT